CCTACCTGCCTGCCTACCTGCCTACCTGCCTACCCACCTACCCACCTACCCACCTACCCACCTACCCACCTACCCACCTACCCACCTACCCACCTACCCACCTACCCACCTACCCACCTACCCACCCACCTACCTACCTACCTACCTACCTACCTACCTACTTACCTACCTATCTATCTACCGACTGATCTATCTATCTGACTCTCCATCTACCTACCTAACTAACTATCTATCTATCTAGCTAGCTAAAGTGTTTCTCTCGGGGAAAACATGATATAGGAGCCTTCATGATCATAAAAAGGTTTTGGGGTATGTTGTACTGGCGATTTACTCGGTGCAGTTTCCTGCGGAATCTTGGTACACCAGCCATGCCCGGTACCGATTGTAGCCCAACTTTGCCGGGACGGTCTCCTGTAATCAAGATCACATCTCCCCATCCTCAGCTTGGAAACGGCCTTTTTTTGAGCAGGGACTGCAATGCACTAAGAAACGGCCTAAAAACCCTAAACCCCAACGGACCTAAACCTAATTGCTAGACCCTAAAATGTGATGCTCGGGGGCCTGCAGCATCAACTCTTCCAGTTCCCCCATGAGCACCAGAACCTCGCGGTTTGAGGGTCGGTTTGGGGTTTAGGGTTTAGGGGGCTGAGTTTAAGGGTTCTGCGAAATATTACTAGATAATAGTTTGTTAAAGCATTTTTGTTGGTAATAGCAGCTGTCTAGAGTCTAGGGTGGGGGCAAGGGTGGGTGGCTTGCGAGGTCGCAGAGAGATCGTAGGATTCGAGGTGGGCAGCAACCCTAAGCCCTAAACCCCTAAACACACTCTCTCTCTCTCTCTCTTTTTTGCTTCTTTCCTCTCTGTTCTGTTCTGTTCTGTTCTCCGGGGCACAGGGTGCTTGTCAGGCACCCCGCGCCGAAGGGCGCACGCCTGTTTTGGGGCCTTCTGTTTTTTGTTAATCTCTCTCTCTCTCTCTCTCTCTCTCTCTCGCTCGCTTCAGGGCACTCAGTCGCCTGTCAGGCCCTAAGCCCTAACAAAAAACATAAAGCCATAGTCATCCCTCCAAGCGGAACTCGGAAGCAGCTCAAAAGCTTCCTGTGTGAAGTGGAAGGACGCGAGTAACTAGTACTTAAACCATCATCATACTCACCATCATCTCATCATCTTCTTATCCCCACAGAAATACCGTGTGCAAAAACCCTGTGTCTGTGCCCAAAGAAGTCCAACTATCCATAGCATGGGCTGTAGCTATTGCATCTTCGAGGGGCGCGCTGCCACTCCGCTGCCTTTTCGCAGGCGCTGAGGACGGCATTGACCGTGATCAGATCCTAACCGAAACCGAACGCAGTACTAATAATATTCGAGCTGCGACGTAGCAAGGTTCTGAAAACTTAGTGCTCCAGTTGCCTAGATCATGGATTTCTGGGTTATGCATATCATTGTCAGTAACTAGTCTACTATTTAAGTACCTGGAGCCCTTGGGAAATCCTGAGGAACTTGATCTTGCCCTAAACCCTAAACCCTAGTACTCCAGGAGTGTAGGATTGAGACGTTGTTTGACTCGGATCTTTGATTGCTTTCCTCCTACAGTAGCCCTCTTTGTCTAACAAAAAAGCCACAATAATCAGATTCGGGGTTTGGGGCTTTGAGTTTTGTTATGCTATTTCGGAACTGTAATAGGGACATCATTACTAGTTGCTCTGACCGCTGTACTACATTATTACCGCCAAAACCCCAAAACGTCATGCCGCAACTCTTTGCAACCCAAAATGTATAGGCACCTTTGACCCCTGCAAAATCTGACGTCCCCTTACGCTTGTCCTCATTAGTTTGATGACCAGAAGCACAAAACGAGATTTTTAAGGAACATCCAGGAATCAAGCTCCAAGGAGCCTGCGCAACAGTCTGCCAGCAGCTCTAGCGCCTGGGTCCACTGCGAGGACTTCTCGCAGGCGCTGATGGCTGAGCTGTACGAGATTAGATCCTCCGATACGCGCTTCCTGGGTTGTCGTCAAGGAATTGAAATCATCAGAATCGACGTTGCTATGAGTTATTGTTCAGGAAACCCTGTCGTTTACTCTTCTCCCGTCTTAGGGTGACTTAATTAAAGCTCCTGAATAGGAGGCCAGCTTCCCACGCATCGTCCGAAGGACGAATAGAGCTTGCCTCCAGCTGCGTGCTTTCTCGCAAGAGCTGATTGCAGAGTTGCAGGTGATGACGTTCGGCAGGAGCTGAAACGTTTCGAGCCTCGGTTGCCCAGGAAGCCCTCAGTTATAGTATCATTATGCATGTAGCCTAGGATATTATTGCCATAATTATTCGTACTGTCTTAATTCACTAACATTGTGACAATTGTTCTTACAGTTACAAGGATGACAAGGCGACCCTTCTTCGAAGTGCATACCCAAAAACAAAACGGGGGCGTAGTGTGTAGGGGGGCGCTACTGCGGGACGGGGAGTGCAACCCTAAACCCTCATTATACAATAAAAATAGCTTCTAACCCTAAACCCCAAACCGCAAAGCCATTTAAAACCTAGGCCCGAGAAACCTGAAGCCCCCAAAACCCAAAAGCATAACATCTCTCCCTCTAAACCCTCAGCCGTCAATCCTAAACCCCAAGCCGGGGGGCTTTTCGAGCAAGTGCAAAGCCCAATCCCATCTCGCGGCCTTTTCGCATACGCTAATGGCTGCTCCGAACCTGCAGGCAATAGGTTTAGGTTGGTTGGTTGGTTTAGGGCTTAGGGGTTTAGGGGTTTAGGGGTTTAGGGGTTCAGGGTTTAGGGTTTCCGCACTCACAACTGGGACAAGCCTGGCGATGTTCCAAGTACGACGAAAGCCCATGGGTTCAGGGTTTAGGGTCTAGGGGTTGGGGTTTATAGTAATTGGGGCCCTTGAGGGTTCAGGGTTTGGGTTTGCGGATTTGGGGTTTGAGGTTGAGGGTTTACGGGTCACGGCCGTTAGGCTTCAGGGTTTAGGTTTGAGGGGTTAGGGCCGGGACAATAGGGTTTGGAGTTAAGGGGTTAAGGCTAATAGGGTTCAGGGTTCAGGGTTTGCGGCTGATGGTTTGCAGCTGATACTTGACTTAATAAGGGTCCAGTTACCCGGAACAGTATTACTTCGGTCCTAAAGTAGAACTACCCAATGTTAGAAAGCCTGTACCTTGATACCATTAGGGTCCATGTAGTACATACTTGCCTTGGCCCGAAAGCAACGAAGAACCACCTGAAGGCCCAAGTATATACTACCAGTATTCAGGTACAAGAACCCTGCGAGGTATGGAGTCCAGAGTATGGCAAACAAAATGCCCCTGCGCTTGCCAAGGAGCGTAACGATCGTCGGCTGCAGCGACTGTCGTGTGATGTCGGCCACCAGAAGCAATGCACGTTGCCAATCCTGTTGCCACCTGCAGAGGCTGATGAGCTTGTTGTATTCGATCGTCGTCCGTGGACGAGGGGCGTCAATGGTGAGGCCACTTTGGGCGTGATGTGAAATTGGAGCGATTCCGGAAGAAGCCATTGCTTGAGAAGAGAGGCTGCCTTTGATTCAAACCTGGTTCAATACACTGCCAGGCCGCAAGCCAGCTTTGTAGTGCATGGTTAAATAGCAGTATCGATGCAAACACCACATCCACATCATGAATTGCGGGACTCGTGGTTGCATCTGCGATGCGACGAAGTATCGGGCAGTTGCAACAGTAGATACTCGCCAAGCCCGACAACTGGCTCACGAAGTTCCAGGGTGTCGACAGCAGCAGAGCCGTCACTGGAAGCAGAGCAAACAAATCAACCTCTGATAAGACCAGCAAATGCGACCCACTCGCAACCCAAGTTACAACGTTCTTCTGTTGGAGACGGCTCTTCATGCGCAAGACGAACAGGTAAACCTGAAGCCTGGAGCTTACGGTGCATTGAGAGCCGCAGGGCTTAACGTGGGCTTCCTGGAGTCCCGAGTTGGCATGGTCGCAGAGTACTTGGAGGTTCATGGGTAGTTATAAGTGGGGTTATAAGTAGGGTAACTGCAATTATAATCCGTATTAGGGGACTTATAACCCCATTTATAACTACCCATGAACCTCCAAGTACCACTTCAGAAACCCTTTTCACACGTGGCCTATGCCCTGAAAACCATCAGGCGCCCTATGTGCTACAACCCATAAAGGAGTGCTGCTGTGATGAGTGCTAACTACTGCTCGCGGCCGTGGTGCTTTTGACAACGTCCTATTCTAGAATCCTGTTACAACTGATTTTGTTACATCGATTGCGCGCTGTGGCTTTTCTGCACGAGCTGCAGTCGCAACAGTCTTTCGAGCAAGACCTCCGTATGGAGTAGCTGCCAGCGCAGCTGCGTCGGTTCCAGTTCTGCCTCACACGCTCCAGCAGCCTGACCGCAGAAGTAGAATCAAAAGACACAAAGAGACACTTCTTCACTGCACTATGGTATCTTGGCTTCACCACCCTGAGCAGCCGAAAACATCGACCCAAAACTAGCCCCAAACCTACATTCCTGGTTCTTTCATGTTTCTGTCTTCTTCTCGCACCGAGCTGACGCGAAGTCCGAACGCAAACAACTATTCCATCCCAGGAAAAGGCGACGTGAGTCTCTAGCCGGGGCCGGCGTGACAGTGGTCAGAACACCTGCGTGTACATGTGCTGAACCATCCTCAACCCCAGCTCTACACCTAAAACCTAAACTCGCCGATCGATTGCCGCAAACCCATGCGCCCAGGAGCAGCGCTCAGCGTGATGGAATCTGCTTCCGTGCCCGGCCTTCCACGCAGCCAAGGAGGAGACTTGATCATTGAAACATGGGGTTGATGTTATGGATTCCGAGTTTAGTGCGGCGCTTGCCAGTGTTTCTCTCGTTCTTTATAACATTGCTTAGATGTTTGGTCTTAAGCGTGCAGAATGCAGGAGTCCCTCTTTCTTCTGTGAACGCCCGGTACTGGCTTGACCTTGCTATAGGGGCCTTAATAATTAGATTTGGGGGTCAATTATACTATCTATCTATTTATTAAAGCATACATATATAATTAATAAGGAACCCCCCCCAAACCCTATTCTAACTATAAAGGCCCCTGCATTATGCATTCGCAACCGACAAGCTCTGCATTGGGTTGCGCGGCTTGGTATGCTTTCTCAGAATGTCGAAGATGATTCTGAAGGTCTGGTCATCACAACTGTCTTCTTGCGCCACCATCCAAAATCCAGTATAATTTTATGGCAACCCATATTACCAAACAAAAGCAAAGAACGAATGTCATAATAGCGGAACTCTGACATGGTTGGCCATTTGGCTGCAAGTTGTCTTTGCGATTGAATTATATAGCACCACTTTTGCACAGCGACGCCGACGCCTGCTGATAATGTTTGCTGCTGGATTTTTCAAATGCATTTTTGGCGTGGTGGCAGTCATCGTGTTTAGCCGTCGTCGGTAATCGTCGTCGCAGAGGTGGTCGCGGTTGCTGCTGCTGCTGCTGCTGCTGCTGCTGCTGCTGCTGCTGCTGATAAACATCTTTGTGATCGCCGACATGTTCGCTACAGAGATGTATCATAGCATTCTCATCGCCTATGTGGCTCTTCTGTCGCACTACGTTAGGCTGCATTGTTTTGACGTGAATTTTGGTAGTGTTCTTGGTGCGTACGGGTAACGTACGCAAACTATACATGCTGCAAATTTGCCGGCTTTGCATGGTAAAACATGTTCAGTGCAGTGGCACCATTGCTTAGTACTCATGATAACCGAAAACACAATGACAAAACATATGCAAGTACTGATTCGGAACATGTCGCTGGTGATGGCAGCAGCAGTGGTGATGACTGCTGTTAGCTTTTGTCGCGTGTATTGCTCATGACCTGCTATGTTGTTGATGGCGACGGGTAGAACCGAATGTCGAAGTCGCTTCCATTGCCGGTATGAGTTAGAGAAATATTGCCTGAGGGCCTGATGGTTAGCCCAAGGCGTCGAAGACACAACCGCTTCTGTGAATTCCCTTCAAAAAGTCACGCACATACACACACACACACACACTCACTCACACGATTTTCTCACAACGGAACAACACATAACGTCCACAGATGCAACGCCTGTCAGGGCATGGGCGCGACATGCCCGCTCTTTACACTTAGGAGCTGGGCCAACAAGTTGGAGGTTGATATAGGGGCCTTAATAATTGGAATAGGGTTTTGGGCTCCTTTATATATATATATATAGTATTAATAAGGAACCCCGAAATAATATTGGTAAGTATTTTGGCTTCTATATTGATGTTAAAGTTTGCTCATTCTGAAGGCAGTGGTCAAATCCATCGTTTGAGGATTTGAGGCTGGCCCACTTCAGCAGGGTGAGTCATGCTAATGTAGGGGCCTTACTAATTAGAATAGGGTTTTGGGGGTATATACTACACTATGATTATAATAAGGAGCCCTCGAAGTAGTATGGGATACTTGTTGAGGCCTCTATGCTACCGTACTGAGGAAGATTGAGGGGTGCCCGCTACAGTCGAACAGATGTCGTATGGGTCATGTTCCTGGAAGCCCGGTGGTCGCAACTACAAACTCGATGCAAGCCTGCAGCAAACAACACTTGCTCGTAACTGAACAACATCAACATACAACAAACTATGACATAGCGATACCAACACGAGATTGCGAGTTGTACGCTTATGTCTTCTATGGCAGGTACTGTGGCCAGCATGATCACAAGAGAGTAGCAAGGAAATGAACTGCGGGTCCATAACTTTTGGTGCCGAGACCCTAGGACAGTTCATGGAGAGCCAAAGGCTGAAAGGTAGCAAATCAACAAAGACTAGTGCTGATCACCCATGTATATCCAATTCAGCGATTCTTGAAAGTTCCCGCCAGAACGGCTTTAAAGGCAACTTGTGAAGGCTATGTCTTGACTCCTGCCTGAAGAGGGCCAGTATCCGGGACCACTGCCGTCCTCTTTCCTAGGCAGCAGAAAGGCATCGGATCGAACGGTAGCCGTGGGGGCTCTCTTTCCTAGGGCTAGGGTCCTAGACCTTAACCCTAAACTCCGAACTTCCTTGTACTCACATATACCAAGCCTTGTCCCCCTTGTCCAGTATCATGGAGAACTACAGGTCCTTCTTCGGGATTTAGTATCCCCAAAAGGCTGAAGGCCACCTACTCTACTATTAAGTTGTCGGGATCTTCGAAGTTACCTCGGGTCCTGAGTTGTCTCTGCAAACGGAAGCCTAGAGGAACTATCGAACGCAAAGCGGCGAGCTTTTGGGAGCACCGAAGTAAGTGAGGAGTCCTTCTGTCATTCCTTGTAGATCCTATTACCTACTTGCTTTTGAGGTTGTCAAGTTCTGTACCATGTAATCTAGAGGCTATAACCTACCATTTTGTGGGGTTTGCTTGCGGTAGCTATCTCTGATTTCCTCGAAGCCTCGAGAGAGCCTGCCAGGGCATTGGTGGTTGCAATGTCTGGCGCCAGTCGCAGGAGCAAAAGTTCTCGAAAAAGTAGCTGGGTGGACTCCCACCTGCTGGATTTCATGTCGATTCCACTATGGTTTAGGGTGGCACTACGGTTTCTAAGGCTTAAGGGTTTCATGTGGGGAAGTACCCGAAAACTAGACGTTCATTGGTGATCTTGTCAACATAGCCAGCCCGCCACGATGCCTTCGCAAATTGCCTTTTTACGGACCTTGTAGCAGATCCTAGGAAAATCATGTTGCAAATACTATATGGCCAGATTAACTTCGACAACTTCGCTCGCAAGGCCCCCGAGCCCTGAACTCAAAATTGCTACTACTCCACTACTTCCCAAAACGCATCACAGATAAACTCAAACACAGAACCGTGACCCCCAGAACCCTGACCCTGTAAACTCCACAAGGGCCCTCTCGAAAACCCTACCAAAAGCCTCTATTCAACGATGACCTAGACCCTTGCCTTTGAACTCAGACCATGCAAGTCAGTGTCGGTCTGTCGGGTGCTTCTTGAAGATCGTCAAGCAGAGGCACTCTACAACACTCGACTTCACCCAGACAGCCCAATGCCCCCGAATCAAGACATGCATCTTAGATCATAGCCTTGAGGCCCCAACATAACTAAGTATTGAATACACCTATATACATCATCATATTAATATTAGATGCCCCCCCCCTATACTTTGAGGAAACTGAGGGGGTATTGAATATACCTATACATCATCATATTAGATCCCCCCCCCGCTAGAATTTCAGGTAACTGAGGGGTACCTAAACCCTAAACCCTAAACCCTAAACCCTGAACCTTCCACCCTAAACGACCCTAAACCCTAAACAGGGCTCTCTGGCCATGCGACGTCCCTGCAACTTCGCACGTGGCGATCGCAGCAGTTTGCCTCGGCCCGGTGCTGCGAAAGATCCGGGTACTTGGAGGATCTGACGCTTAGAAACTATAGGGCTTATAGGGTTTAGGGTTTAGGGTTTAGGGTTTAGAAACTATAGTCACCCCCAAAAAGTTGGAAACCGGGTTGAGGCCAAATAGTGCTGGGATTCCCTAAACATTAGTCTTAGGGATTGAGGCTATTGGGTTTCCAACTTTTGGGCTTCTGCTGTAGGGTTTAGGGTTTAGGGTTTCGGATTCCAAACAAGCTAAGTCTAAGGTCGTTCTCTGAATTAGGGTCCCTCTTTGGGTCCCCAATATAGTACGGCACCCTTATAGAAGGACCCCCAAAAGGGACCCTAATTTAGAGAACTACCCACATACTTATAACCCCAACGAAGGCACGTACAACCTTACTTACTACCTCCCATGATCCAAGTACTGGGTGCCCTTCATGAGACTCAGACTTACTTCCCCAATAAGCCTGAGAAATAAAAGGTTAAACTTTCAGATTACTACTAAATTTTAAGAATCCAAAGAAGTGTAAAGGTTGGGTATTGGGGAACTAAGGAAGTGCCAACCTTTCACCTCTTCATGACGTAAGACTGCAGCCATGCGAGCCCCTGAAACCGCAAACGCAACACCCCAACCTAATGTAGGGGCCTGAATAGTTACCAATACTATCTTGGGGTTCCTTACTATAATTCTAGCATAATGGGCCCCAGAACCCTATTCTAACTATTACGGCCCCTGTATTAGTTTGACCTGCAGTTGGAACCACACGGATGGATTTCTGATGCCGCAGCTACAAAGTTGTCTTGCAAGTCTTCTAGCCAAACTTCGGCCTAAAATGTTCAGCCTGGTTCCTGGCTCGTTGGCAACTTACCTTTCAAGAGGAGCGTAGCAGTGTAGCCTTCATCTTATGTAACATGCAGCCTCCCGGTAACTTGACACGTACAACTCCGGGGGTCTAGGGGTTAGGGTTTAGGGCGCTGTACCTTTGACCTGGCCAAGATGCGTGATCAGCGTCGGGCGCAGGCTTGCAGGCCGCAAGTTGCGCAGCACCTGAAGTGTTACATCCATGTCTGTTGGGTACTGCCCCCATACAGTAACAGTCTATAATAGGGTTACTATTAAGGGCTTTTTTATCCATGATATATATATATATATATTATATTATCCGACTGTTACTGAGTGGGGGCAGTACCCAACCATGTCTGGCTCTTGGTCTCAAAAATCAAGCAGCCCGAGAACTCGCAGGGCCTTGAATCGTGGTTGGGAGAAGGGGTTTAGGGCCTAGGGGTTTGGGGTTTAGGGTTTAGGGTTTAGGGAGGCTACTCGAATGAGCTGAGGCTCAATGACGGCCTGTTGGGCTTCGGATTTGCAAACTCTTCAACCAGAAGCGTCCGATTTCCCCCCGCTACTACAGGGTCGGGTTTAGGGACCCGAACCCTGGAATGAGAAGGACATGTGCTTTGGCATCGGAACGTTGATTGCCCTGGCTATCCCCTACTTCCTATGTATTGGGGACGCCACTAACCAGAATCCCTCGAAATGAAGCGCAATGGCGACCCCTGATAAAAGCTCCTTTCGTTTGATTCGGACTATAGGAAGCAGCCTAATACCGAGGTTCTTCAAGAAACAGGCGCAGATGCAGAAGGGACACAATTAAGCTCCAGAGTACGTGACCCTAGCCCCTCAACCGTACCGCCTATGTGAAACCACGAGCTAGGTGTTGGCACGCATCATTGCCTGACAAAAACCCGAACCCTGAAAGCCTGCAAACCAACCACTAGAAGTCTACAAATCCAAAGCCTCAAGCAATTAACCAAAAACCCCAAGCCCTAAACCTCCGAAGCCCCAAAACCTAAACCTCAAAACCCCACGTCCCGAAATTTCCGAGCACCCAGGAGTCGCTGCTTGCCTCGAATGACAACTTCCACTTCGCCCCTGCGCGGAGGGAACCCAGCGCCTGACATCTTAATCAAGCTTAGGGGTTAGGGTCTAGGGTCTCGGGTTAGGGTTTAGGGTTTAGGGTTTAGGGTTTAGGGTTTAGGGTTTAGGGTTTAGGGTTTAGGGGTTAGGGTCTAGGGTCTCGGGTTCGGGTTGAAGGTTTAGGGTTTAGGGTCTACCTTAACCCCAAACAACCTACCTTTTTAGGGACTTATATAAAGAAATCAGAATAATGAACCCTAAAAAGGTAGGTTCTTTGGGGTCCATGCAGGGTTAGGGTCTAGGGCTGAGGGTTTAGGGTCTAGGGTTAGGGTTGAAGGTTTAGGGTCTTGGGTTTATGGTCTAGGGTTCAGGGTCAGAGTTTATGGTTTAGGGTCAAGGGTTGGGGTTTAGGGTTTAGGGCTTAGGGCCTATGACCGAAACTTTGGGTTTAGGGTTAGAGGGTCTACAATTAACTATGGTTGCAAGAGGTCGCCGGGATCTGTACTTACTGTGCTTCTTCTTGGGGTTTCCAGAGGCGGAATGATCTCGTGGCAAGGTTGATGTCGAACGCGTCTCTAATCTAGAAGTTCTTACAGTTACAACAGGGAGTTCGAAGATGAGCCAGCGGCCGGAACAGAGAGTTACAAAATTGATGAGGGTTTTCTTAAGACGGGTCTGCATGAGCAACAACAACTCATAACAGAGTCACCAAACCAAAGCTGACAGCTGCGGTCTCGAGCATCTGCGGCTTTGAACCCCAAGTGTGACATGCCGGCTGTTGCTCAACCTAAACCCGATAATATAGGGGCCTAAATAATTACCAATACTATTTTTGGGGGTTCCTTATTATAATTATAGTTTAATGTGCCCCAAAACCCTATTCTAATTATTAAGGCCCCTTTTTTTAGCCCCAAGCCCTGAGCTCAAGAGTGGTTCGGATTGCTTCGGCTTGCATTGCTGCACCTTCCTCGCATACTGAGAGCTAGGTACAAGGTTAGAAAGTTATACATAGCGACGTCCTGAAGCTTCAGCCACTCTTAATGGGCGTTTCCGTTGTATGCTGGTTTAGTTTTTTGTCTCTAGGTTCCTATTCTGACGAGGGTCTAGGATGGTTTACGACTGAGAGCTTTGGGTTCTCGGGTTAGTTGTCGTGAGGAAGAGTATTCAATCGCAACATACGGGCATTCATAATTCGAATTGGATGTTGGAGTGCAGTGGCCGTTATAATATGGAACCGCAAGGAGTAGTACTACGATTTTGTTCAGGCGTCTGTATTAGCAGCCCTTGACTGACGTGAAACTGAGCAGACAAGCGGCGGCATTGTGCAGGACGATGTCATGTTCCACGGCCCTCGGTTCTTGAGATGTGCAGGGCCTTTTGGGGTTTTGGGTTACGGTTAGGGCGGTTGCAGTGCTCATGAAGCTGCCGAGCCAGGGCAGGAACTCCCCATTGCAACCTCAAGCCTTAATAGCCTATGTAGCGGGAGCCCAACTTTGAATGTACATTTAGCCTTGCGACACGAGCTAGCGGCAACGCTTGAAGGTTGATATGGACTTAGTTGCTGAGTTCATAAGCCCAGGAAAGTGCAAACTTTCAGTTCTTTTTTCGGCGATATTATTATCCCAAGCAGGGTAAAGTGTTCCCATTCAGCTACTAAGTGGACTATAGGATCCGGTTTCGGGTTTGCGGGGTTTAGGGTTTTAGGGTGGCATGGGATGGATGGCCTGGTAGAAGTGACTGAGAGCAGCCGTAGCGCCGGCTGCCACTCGCCGGCCCGGTCACCTGCAATGAGGGTTCAGGGTTTAGGGTGGCTTTTTTGGCGGATGGCCTACGTGAGCGTCTCGTGCGCATTTAGTCGCGCCTCTTCGGAAAATCAAAATGCGCAAAGCGAGCCAGCTCCATCCGTTTAAGAAGCCGAGCAGCATGCACTAGTCGCAGAGCCGTGGGTGATTTCGTTGTTTTGCAGGTCGCTGGACCGCACGCATGCAAGCATATCAAGTGCATGTTGCCACTTGGCTGCCCGCTCGCATGCACTGATGCCTGCGCCATATGCCACCACATTAGCAGAGAGGTCCACATGGTTCATCTGCCCCAGGAGCAGCAGCGCTTGGAGCCACTCCGCAGACTTTGCACAAGAGCTGATGGTCGTGCTGTACGTTGTCACGCCCGACTGCAAGCGGCAGTCCCCAAGACTAGCCAAGAGTTTCAAAGCCTGCTTTGCCTGCGATGCAGTTTCACACGCACTGATCACACAGTTGTGCAAGATCGAAGCTGGGAGGACCTGAAGCTCTCGCGCCTGCGAAAGCGGGGCCAGCGCTGTCTGCCACATGCCAGCTCGCCTGCAGACCGTCATCAAGGAGGTATATGCGGTTGAGTCCACCTGGAGGTTGCCAGCGATGAGATCAGCAAACAAAGATAAAGCGCCCTGCCAGTCGGCAGAGTTCTCGAAGGCGCTGATGGCTGCACTATAGATGATAAGGTTCGGTTGTAATTTCTGTGACAGTGCATGGCTGAATGCCAGGAGCGCTCGCTGCCACTCCCCCGCTAGTTGGAGACCCGTCAGCATGGAACCTCAGCTGTCGGTAAGTAACATAGGGGCTTTAATAATTACAAGAGGGTTTTGGGGCCTGCTATACTATAATTCTAATAAGGAACCCCCAAAAAATAATAGTGCAGGTAATTATTTTGGCCTCTACATTACACAAAGAACTGCAGCGACATGGCAATGGCGATACGTTGGCGGCCACACACTGCCAATAAAAGATTGAAAACGGGATCATCATTAAGTCTACCGGGGTGCTGGAAATTTGTCACTACTCTCAAACGGTGTATATCTGCACGGGAGCCTGCATCAACCCATGCATGTCGGGGAGGAACAATCGGCTTTAAGGCTTTGGGGCTTGCCCATAAGCGTTATGCGTGTGTGTTGCTCAGGGTGGTTGAGGCTCCGGCTGCGAAGGCCATTTCGCTGATGATCAACAGGAATTCAACTATCAGGGGGGGGGGGGGTT